TATGGTTTACAGGAAGATAAAAATAAGTTAAAACCCCATTTGTCCTTTATATCAGCATTAGTTTCTCTTCTTCTAGTAGAATCTTCCTCCCCCACTGCCTATTTTGGGTATAATGTTATAGACATTTCACTTTCTGCCTGTTGTCCCCGAGGAGAAGGACATGCCTAAAAGGACTTTTCCCGAGGGTAACTGTACCATCTTGACTCCCAGCTCTTTCTACACAGGCAAGTGAGTCTGTGATTTCCTTGGCTGTGATTTCCATGCTGGATACCTTATGAGAGGCCTCAAAATGGTTTGTGTTTTCCATAGTAAATTCGGTCTTTGAATTTCAACTTGGGTCTTATTTTTTTAGACTTAGTTTTTTAGACCAGCCTTTTGAACATTATTAGTTCATTTGAGCTGCTTCTTCTCCTCCTTCTCTGTTTTCTACTACATGTGTTGACATGGTCTTTAACAAGAAACTTTTACTTTTTCATATATATTTTTTAAATTTAAATTTGAAACAAGCTTGTTTTACATGTCAATCCCAGTTCCCCCATCCTCCCATCCTCCCCTGTTCCCCTCCATCAACCTCCATCCCATCCCCTTTCTGCTCCCCAGGGAGGGTGAGGCCTTCCATGTGGAGTCTTCAAAGTCTGTCATATCATTTGGAGCAGGGCCAAGACCCCCTCTCCCCCTGATGTATTTAGGCTGAGAGAATGGAATGGGCTCCCAAAGTCCATTCGTACACTAGGGATAAATACTGATCCAATACCAGAGGCCCCACAGACTGCCCAGTCCTCCTAACTAACACCATATTTAGGGGATCTGGATTGGTCCTATGCTGGTTTCCCAGTGATCAGACTGAAGTCCATGAACTCCCCCTTGTTCAGGTCAGCTGTCTCTGTGGGTTTCTGTAGCCTGGTCTTGACCCCTTTGCTCATCACTCCTCCCTCTCTGCGACTAGATTCCAAGACTGTCGGCTTCCATCAGCTACTAGATGAAGGCCCTAGGATGGCATATAAAGTAGTCATCAATCTCATTATCAGGGAAGGGCATTTAAGGTAGCCTCTCCATTGTTGCTTAGATTGTTAGTTGGGTCATCCTTGTAGGTCTCTGGCCATTTCCCTAGTGCCAGATTTCTCTTAAAACCTAGAATGGCATCTCTTTTCTTGCTCTCCTCTATTCTTTCCCCAACTCAATCTCCCTGCTCTGTCATGCCTACCTCTTCCCCCCTCTTCCCCCTCCCTCCTTTCCCCCTCCCTCCATGCTCCCAATTTGCTTGGGAGATAACAAGAAACTTTTAAATATTGATGATTTAATACTGTTTTGTTAGGGAGTGGCATGTAGGGAAAGATGGTTCTATTCTATTGATCTATCTATCTATCTATCTATCTATCTATCTATCTATCATCTATCTATCCATTCCTATAAATGGCTGCATAAGATTTCCTTTTAGATATAAATGGTCCACAGACCCTAAGTTCTAGGTGACAGCAGGTAAGGGACAGAGTCATTTGAACATAAGTATTTGTGATGGCAGTACAAGCATGTGCCCTCTCTAGGCATAGAAATTGGATTCTCAAACAGGAATAGTGTCTGAAGACATTAGGGCATCCCCTTAACTTCCTCAGGCCTCCATGTAACCACCTTGTCCCTCTGGCCTGCAGAGTCTCCCCTACTCTCCTGGAAGCTGTGATATAATTGCCCTTATTTCCTTACAAAAGGTCCTCAAATTGCCACTGGGATTTTTTTTTTACATCAACTCCCTAGATTTTTAAAAATAATCATTGAATAAATCAATGCATAAGGGATGAGTAAATACTTAAGAGATACATATATTAAAGGATGTTTCCTACTAGGCTTGATTGTCTGAAAAGGGCCTTATGCTTGTGGTTGTTTTTGTTTGTTTACTTTTCTAAGACCAAATGACTGAAATGATCCTGAGTGTGACTTCTTCCACTCACTAGATAGTGTCTGCAGTCCTGGACTCTGCTTATGAGAGGACAACACTACCTTAGCTAACAACTTGTTTATGATGCAATCAGAGACACAGCACAGGAAGTTTTCTAGCCTTTAAGATATGCCCTGCAATGAGGTCTTAGTCAACAGAACCTAGTCAACAGAGGGACTCCTAGCCCTAAATCTATTTTCTTGTTTGTAGTTTTTGTCTTGTCTTGTAGTGCTTTCTTGGTCTATTAAGAGACTGATTTCTAGAATATTAACCCAAACACTGGACGTATTGCAAATTCTCCCTATCTCTACTGGCTGAAGTTCTATGTGTCCCAGTTGTATATACAGAACAGGCTACAGAGCCAGGAGGACCATCCTGTTGTGAAAATGATCTGACTCTGGGGGGGGGGGCGCATAGGATGCAGAGTCCAAGTTCACAGCTTTTGAGGCCTGTACTCTTGGTCACACCAACTGCTTTCATTCTTAAGGTTTGAATCTGAGGTGTAACCCACAGTCTCATGGTTGGAACACCTCCAGGGTCGCTTGCCCTACCTTGTAACTCAACTTGCTTCAGAGGACCAACCACTTCCTCTGTCTTTCTCCAGCTCACCTCCGTCAGTCTCTCCTTATTCTACCAGCTTTGTTATTTACCACTTCTCCAGATCAGTCAGTCAGCCAAAGCAGGCAGGCATCTGAGTGAGTGGGGGCAAGCCAGCATCAGACAAGTCTCTCCTTACAGCCACATATCCTGAGCAAGCTGTGCAGCCTTTCTGAAAAATGGCTATCTGTACTGTAAGACAGCTAGAACAATGCCTGTCACACACACACACACACACACACACACACACACACACACACACACGATCTGCTTCCTTTCTCTGTTAAAATAGAAATAGTTCTGTATGCCAAAGCTTTGCTTGATTTTCTCCTGTCCATTGGGGGCTTTGTTTTTATAAACTTCTTGATAGTTTTTTTGTTATCATAATCCTGAAAGTCAGTGCTGAGGTGTTCTCAAGACATTAGCTTTGGCCAGGTATGATGGTGTACACCTCCCATCTCAGCACTTCTTGGAAGGCAGAAGCAAGATTATCTTACATACATGATCGGCCTGGTCCACACAATGAATTGCACACCAGTAAGTGCTACTTTGTGAGACCTTGTCTCAAAATAAAAAGGTTTACGTTCATTCCTAGCCATGCCATTCTGCTTCTTACACAGCATGCTTGCATAAATGTAAGTACCATCTCTTGCACTAATTTTTATTAATATTTACTTGACTAATATAATTAAATATAAAGTATTCCTAGTTACTTGAATTGCATTAAAATAAGTACCTGAATTATATTAAAAGTGACATTTAATCAGTATTCATATCATAATGATGATTTTAATGAGGATGAATTTTTAAATAGTGCAAATCTTTTATGTAGACAGACTTAAAAAGACAGTAGTAGTATTTCTAAACATTTAGACAACTCCCATTAATTTAATTAATCAAAAGTTGGGTTTCTTAAGTCAGTTCTCATATACTTCTCAAGCACTGTGAAACAGAAAAAACCCAGTGTTCAGGAGAGGGCAGGGAGCTATATACCAAGTGTCATGACTTATCAATACTCTTTTAAAAGCCTCAGTATTGTATCCCCCCTTCTTGACATGGATACAGATGCATGTATTATATGTAAAGGGCTGGGCCCTCATCTCACCTGTGTCAAATTGCTTCTTCTCTTGGTTTATCCCTAATTCCTCTCCAGATCATTAGCATCTGCTTTCCTTCCTCCTAACCTGTGGCTCAGGCACGCCTCACTTCCTGTAAACACAGAAGACTGGACTTTCCAGGACCAAACATGCCCAAGGCAATAGGCACTAAGCCATCCTGGAGCCTTTAGGGCCAGCCTGAATGTAAACTCTCCAGGATGGAATGGAGATAGTGAGTGAAGGCAAAGGGCCCAGGGCCCAGGTCACACCAGGTTCTAAAGTTCTTCCGCGATGCCGACTGCCTCTGTAGTCTGCTTAGAATTTTCTTCTGTTTATGGCCAAGGCCGCCTTCTCATTTACCAACGCTCCCACTACAGCTGGTTCTATTTTGGGGTTCCAACAGCCTCAAATATTCTCAAATATCTCCCTGAAAGTGCACAGTTCCGAGAAAGCCTTCTAGAAGTATACACAAAAGCGTGATTTCTTTTATAACTCCTTCACCTAAGTGCTTCATCATATTAGTGATGACATGTGTATCTTTGTTGGATTTTAGCGATAATTATAATAACCCCAATGAAGACCGGAATTGTGTTCATATTTTCAGGTTTCTGTGTCTCCAGTCTAGCGCAATGCCTGTCACACCGAACATGATGAATAAATTACTTTCTAACGGATGGCTAGTGTAAGGGTGTGTAAGCACCCACTGCATATTTAGGCATTGAGCTTCAAGTGCTTCTGAGGAATGAGAACCCTGTTTTACAATTGTTCTTTGCAAATGGACATTCACCTCAAGGCACACACAGATACAAAATGAGCACAGGATGATGTTTTCATGTGTACACCTGGTAGATTTGAGGGAAGTTGATGGTGGAGGCAGAGAAGGACAGTACTGGGGAATATGTAAGTTAAAGGGATAGGTTTGATTCCCTCACTGTAAAATGAGCCATTCAAACTAGATTGTTTACTATGAGTGTAGGATTCATTGCATTTATAGCCAGCCCTATAATGAGACTCGCCCCTGGCTTTTTCCATTAGGTATGACAAAGACATATGAAATCTAGGTGGGGTTTGTAGGGGTGTGTTAGGTGAGTGACTGGTACATTTACTTTATGAGCAAGCTCAGTGGTGGAGACAGTGAATATCTATCTCCAGTGGCCCAGCATCTCAAGCTGTGCATTGCTCAGTCCATCAATGCCCCAGATGCTGAATCCTTGTTCTGGAAATCAGCAGGCAAAAGTCCATGATTAAATAAATGATCCATCATCTTTATTAAATAAAAGGAAATCATCTACATAGATACATACTGTCACTTGTTTGTTGCCCAGGAGTGACCTCATTTTCTTCATGTGACGATGTGCAAGCTAAGTAGTGCTTCGCGATGCCCTGTGACAACTCGGGCTGGCTGGTGAGATCGACAGCCTCCATCTGTTTCTGCCACAGCACATAGAGGAGAGGAAGCCCTCAGTTCACAAAGATAAAGAACTGTCAATGAACTTCAGTTGGAATATGCCAGGCCTTCCTCAAATCTCTTCTAACAATTAAACCAACTGTTACTCTTCAATACGTGGCTCACTTTCTTTGCATTTGGGTCAAACTCCAGCTGTGAAGATCCACTGAAGAAATAGAAAAATCCTGCATATAAAGACAAGAGGAAATGTGAGCTACTGTCTTCTAAGTAAAAATTTGGGGAGACAGAAAACTCAGTAAGAGGTGAATGGGAAACAGAAAAAATCAGGGATGTGACTCAGTGATAGGACACTTGCCTAGAGCATCCAAAGTTGTGTGTTCAAATCCTTGCCTAGAATATTCAAAGTCCTGAGTTTAAACCCTTGCCTAGAGTGTTCAAATCCTTGCTCATCTGAGAAAACAACAAAAACAGCACAGAATGTCTCTGTAGTTTTTAGTCTGTGCCAGGGACAATGTTAAGCATTTAACAGAACTACTATTTTTAAAACTTTGGCTGGAAAAGAGCTCTGTGAAGTAAAGCTATCTAATCCATCTTTCCCATAAACCAGTTGAGGTTTAGGCAGATGCAAACATTTGTCTCGGTGTATTTGCCAGGGAGGGAAGCATACAGCAGGGGGTCTGTGTTTCCAATCAGAAAAGGTCCCTGCTTGTTTGAAACTATGATTTATTTTCTTCCTTCCCAGCCCCTCTCCTCCCCTTCATCATCTTCTAGTCCAAAGGCTCTTTCTGGCCATAAGACTGATTTTTAATCGCCACACTCTGCAGATACGGCACTCTGTGTCGGCAAGATCACCATCTTACTCTTGCATAGGAAACAACATTCTTTTAAGCTCCAGTACATGGAAAGATGAATATTTCCAAGGAACCAATGTTGCCAGTCATTAACCGAGTCCGGAAAGACAGAGAAAGCCTGTAGCTGAATAGTGGAAACGGATGGGGTGCAGAAGGCAAATCGGCCTGAAACCGGGTGCCACCACCCAGGGCAGCTTTGTAATAACATGGAGCAAGAAACGCAAGAGCCCTCAATGTGAGGAGCGACTGCGGGCACTGTGGTCTTCCACATGTGTGTATGATAAAAGAGTTCACGTTAATCAGCTTCAGCAGTCAAAACTGCTCACCTGAAGGAGAACCGTGATTGCTACAAAAGCAAAAGAGTTGAAATGCTTGGGAGATCAGTGAGTACTGATATTTTTTCTTTTTAACTTTGTTATTAAGTCTTCTCATGCTACAGAGCATTCCAAGGCCTGTTGCCAACAGAGTAAGCGGCCCCTTACCAAATGCCTCAAAGACGGCATCCACCTTCGAGTCCACGCCAGGGAAGTCTGCAGCTATCTTCCTGGGAAATCCGGGCTCCATGGATTGTTTCTTTTCATCAAATCTGCACAAAAGAAAAGCACAGCAGCTCAGCGGTGCACGGAAGGCATGCTCCCCAAACTGGTGCGCTTGTGCAACTCCAGTGACCTTTCCAAGTTCCCTGCATAAATGTCAAGTTTTATTTAATGCCATGTGTTTCTAATAAGGTAAAACTTAGCTCTTAAAAACTGTAGGAACACAACAGTCTCCTACTACAGCAATGCTGTTTGTTACCGTTCTTCTGAAGCCTGGCCAAGAGAACCTTCATCTTTCAACCACAAGTGCATGAGCGCGTGAATGTACAACCATGTATACATACATATGCATATAAGTACGCAAACACGTGAATGTGTGGATTGAGTTACTGATCAGAAATATAATTACCATGGCTACAGAGATGCCTTAGTGTAATGAGCACTTCCTCTGTTCTTTCCCATGACAGCCACCTGCCTGTAACTCTAGCATCGGAGGATCTGGGGTCCCCTCTTCTGGCTGCTGTGGGCACCAGCATGCCTATGTACACATTCTCACACATATGTACCCTCATAAATAGAAATGGAATATTTGGGGCTGGAGTGATGGCTCAGCTGTCTGCTTTTACAAAGGTTCCAGGTTAGGTCCCTAGCAATTACATGGTGACTCACACCCATCTGTAACTCCAGTTCTAGAGGAATTCTATGCACTTTTCTACCTCCAAGGACACTGTATGAATGTGGTGCACAGTGAGCACACACACACACACACACACACACACACACACACACACACACATTGCTCATACACATAAAATAATAAAACACATTTTGGGTTGAATATTAAAAATGAAAAATAGGCTTTCCTGTTTACCACCATAAGTAGGCTATCCCTTACCACCATAAGTAGGTCCTTGCCCTACCCTGTACTCTGAAGTTTTCTAGGAAAAGGGACTGAATGAGAAGCAAAGTATAATATATGTGGTTTTGGCAATGGGCTGCACACCGGAGGGTCTGCCCTGATGTCTCAACATCTGGACTGGTAGCCTGTGAGGGGTCCCGAGTGCAAACCGTGAAACTGGTCGGCGGTTGCGTCTCATTTCCAGCCAGGCAGAGGTTAGCAGCGTATGAGCCCAGCTGAAGTCCTTATGAGGAAGACAAGATGGATGCACGCACGGGAGACAACGAGAGCTTTGGGGCACTGGGAAGGGAACAATAGACTGAGGCATGGGGTGGGCTCCATAAGGACACGAAGGCCAGATGAACTTGAAGACAGAAAGACTTCATGAAGGTGGAGGGAATTAAGCCTGAGCTTGAAGTATGTGCAGGATGGAGCAGGTAGAGAAGAGGCGCTCTACACGAGGTGTGTGTGTGTGTGTGTGTGTGTGTGTGTGTGTGTGTGTGTGTGGCACGATCTAAACAACACTTAAGAAATGCCTGTGTTTCCAAGCCCTCCCCACAGCTGTCAAAGCCTCTGTGTGGGTTTCCAAGCCCTCCAACAGTTGTCAGAACCCCGGTCCTCGCCCAGGAAGAAGAATGAGGATCAGGGTGTGGTCGAAGTGCTTCCTCAGAGGGAGAAAGCAGTTCTGAAGTCGGTCTCTTCACAAAGCCATCCTCACAGCATCTCACCTCCAGTATTGGTCCTCTACAAAGAAGTATGTCTTCTTCTTCTCCTTATCAGAGACAGCGGCATCAATCTTCCCAACAGTTGTGGGGAGACCCAAAGTATGGATGCTTTTAGGGTAACCCGCTTGCTCCTCGTGACCTCGGACAGCCCAGAACTGATCCCCTGTACAACAACAAAACAGCAGCAGAAACATCAGTCGTGTTAAAAGTCCAGGAAGATGCCAAGCAATTTTGGAAATACGTTCTTAGCACCTTGTCTGTTGGTGGCAAATGGATTTAGACCTTAGCTCTATGATGGTCAGTCAACAAAAACGCCCAGCTGGGAACAATGAGCAACGGTCCAATGAGGGAATTTTCAACCCAGTCACTGTATCTCCCTGAGTTCACTTTCTATTTATTCATTTATTTTATTTATTGGTTTGTTCAAGACAGGGTTTCTCTTGGCTTTGGGGGCTGTCCTGGAATGAGGTCTTGTAGACCAGGCTGGTCTCAAACTCACAGAGATCCTCCTGCCTCTGCCTCCCAAGTGCAGAGATTAAGGGCGTGCACCAGGTGGGGACCACCTGGCCTGAATTCACTTTTTAACTATAAATAAATGGTTGATTTTATGTGTTTCTTTATTACCTTTAGCTATTTTTTAATTGCACAGAATTTGACATAGTAAAGCCCTGTTCAGTTTTCCCAACAGAAGGCTTGTTTCACTGAGTTGAAGCAAGGTTGTGGAATAATCACCTTTAAATATGAAAACAGTGTCTCTGTTAGTAACCTCATATGCCGCATCCATGCTGGAAGGGAGCGATGGCCAAAATGAAGAGATCAAATAAAAGCCAGGCTCAGGGGTCCTTAACGATTGTCGCCAAAAATACCTAAAAAATAGATGTAAAAGAAAAACATAGCATTTGGAAAACAGCCTTTTATCTTTAATGTATTATCCCCCTGTACCAATTCACCCAATGTTCTCTCATCCTCTAGCTCCCCCCCACCTCCACCCCCCACACACAAACTCTCCCTCGGGAGGACTGCAACAGATTTCCTGTCATAGATTTCCAGAGCAATCTGTAAAGCAAAGTTCTTCACCATGTCAATTAATTAGTTCAGCATAAGCTTTAAGTACATGTAATACACGTGAAACAGTGTGTAATTAATAATTAAAGTATCACCCACAATTCCCAAAAAGATGGACAGTGAGTGAGAGGTGTGTGCGCGTGTGCGTGTGCATGGGTGTGATGTATAAATATGTCCTTGTACGTTCACAGGAAAAAAAATCTAGGACACACAAGAGGTCTTGAAGTAGGATATGGTGGCTCAGCCTGGAGTCCTAGCACTTGGAAAGAGGCGAAAGCACGGCAGCTTCCGGCCAGTCTGGGCCTCTCGGAATATCCAGACTGCTTATCTGAGGAGAGGTGGGGACGGACTTCGTGAGGAGAGGAGATGGGGGGACTTCTCAGCTCCCTTCCGTGTAGATGCATGTTTTCTCCCAGGCATACTTGCTGAGCAGTGTGTGAGCCAATAAAACCTGAAGCTTCTCCTAGCATCATTTTGGAAGAAAGTAAAGATAGAACTCTGCCTCCGAGGATCATTGTTTTTTGCAGCAGCAGCCTGTGCCTAGAACATCTGGGAACAAAACTTCTATGACAAGAATCAAACTATCTGGCTTCAAAAATGAACTTGACGACCTTAGAGACGTGGAAAGGTCATTGCCAGATCTGAGAGATTCCAGGCTCCAGAGTTTGTCTTTAAGATGCGTATATCTACTGTTTTTCCTGATTCTTGCACTTTCTAAGCATTTTTCACCAAAAATAAATAGCAACTTAGGGTCCTTTGGTCTGACCTGTCTTTAAAAAACAGGAATTCTCCCCGAAGGGTGCTGACTGCGTCAAAGGACAAAGCAGGACTACACGTCAGTGATGACTCAGGTTCCAGAGAGTTAGCTTTGGTGGGTACCACGGGGACAGCAGGGGATGCTGTGGGAGGTCCTAAGGGGAACAGGTTAAAGGAGGAAACGTTAGGAGAAACATGGCCTGCCTGTCAAATCTGTGGTTCGCAAACACTCTCAAGGACCCTGGATTTAATCCCAGATACTTATGTAACAACACAACGGCCTTAAGGACTCTTTTTTTTTTTTCCAGTGTTGCTCACCATAGAGGGACTGGATGCCATCCACATCGTCTTGAGAGAGACGAAAGCGGGCCAGGTCTGCGGAGAACTTGTAGACTGGGTACATCAATGCTTCAGGCTTGGCTGAGTGAAAGAGACCCAGCGAGTGGCCAAGTTCATGAGCAGCAACCAGGAACAAGTTGGTCCCTATGGAAGAAATCATACTTATCCTACATCTACATCATATAAGCCAGCTGGCACAGCATTTATTTACTTCCTGAAAACACACAGACTTGTAATCACCTGGTTTGCTGTCTCATTGAACAATAGACTGATCCTACACTTGGCAGGAAAACAAGCATACTTTAAAACTTGTGCTTGAGATCAGTCTAAAGCCCCCAGACTCATCCAGCAGCCCCTTTCTTTGGCCTCAAACTGTCTGAACAGCAGGTCTCACTCATTGTTAGAAATTGAGACTATTACTTATTGTTTAGCATACCAGAGCTCTCTCTCTCTTCCTTTGTCCAGGAAAAGCTAAGAATACTCCAGCAAGTGGTTAGCGTTTGCAAATTCAGTACCAGCTAACTAATCTCAGAGTAGTATCATCTCAATTCCAAACCCTTAAAGAACCTGAACCTGTTCTTTCTATTGGATTTTGCCTACGTTATTTTACAGATTCATCATCCTTCTACATACCAAGTGCCAAAAGATGACTAAGGACAGAGATGTCATAGGGTTTGTAAAATTGGTTTTAAACATAACATGCCTAGGTGGTTGTCATAAATGAGATCTTGGATTCTAACTGTATTCACACTATTCTCATTAGAGTTGTGTGCAAGAATGCCTTCAGTGCAGAGATCAGGGTGTGTGAGGAGATTATGACCGGCAGAAATTTCCGAAATATCTGCTGTGGATTTTGTGGGCCAGAGGACATTCTCATTTTGCATAAGGGTCCTCTGGCAGGGTGGGGGGGTGCTAATTCTATAAAACATGAACTTTATTCAGTGCAAAAGCTGGATTTGTATTTCCAACAGATGCCAGTTTATGTTTTCATTATGAATCCGGTTCTGTCTCAAAGGCAATACTATTTATTTCAGCCAAGTTTTTGAAAACGCAGTCAATCCCCGAAGATAAGAGCTAAGAAATCTTCTGCCTAGACAGTTTGGTTGTTGTACTTCAGAAAGAGTTCTTCTCTTTCAGGAATTGATAAAAATTCATCTTAGCCAGAAGACACAAAACGGTGAACTTAATAAGACAAAAATCTCAGACTTCTGAAGTTTAATTTTGGCTTCAGTCTGAAAGGTAAAAGGAAAAGTGGATGTGGTACCCTATTGCTGCCCGAATATCTACCATTTGATACCATTAGGCAGTTTGGTTATAGTAGCTTGCAGGTCACACAAGACCCACAACTGCTAAAAATTCAGAGGTTTTTCCCCTGTACTGAGAATAGATTCTCTTCTCACACAATATGTTCTGATTAGACTTTCTATTCCCTCTGCTCCTCCCAGTCCCCACCCCCATCACATGCAGATCCTCTCCCTTTCTGTTTCTCATTGGAGAAGAATGAGCTTCTAAGGGATAACAACAAGATATATAAGATAAAACAAAAACCATCACACCCAAGTTGGACAGGTCAAACATTTAGTGATATATTTTATGTTGCACGTACTAGGAAAAGAAATGCTTTTTAGACATCTGAAAATACACTAAATAATGTTTAAAACAAAAAATGTATTCCACTAGAGTCCAGAATTCACTTTAGCATTAGTGTGGCTGATTATGAAAATTTCCCTAAACATGAACAGAAAGGAACCTAAGTCATGCTGTGAAGCAGAGCACTTACCTGTTGTGTCCTCTGTCCACTGTTCATCATCATCAAAGTGAGCATCTCCATTAATCCCCAGCCCGGGTGCGTATGCGTGAGCCAAGACTAATCCGGGCCCATCAAAAGGAATGAAGTCTCCATGTTCTGAAGGGAGAAGATGTATGTATGCATGTATGCATATGTATGTGTGCATACATACATACACATATATACATATACATACATGCAATGCATACACACACACACACACACACACACACACACACACACACCTGCACCAATTAGGACCCCCTTTTTCAGTAAAACACCACTGGGCAATGTGTGTTTCAGGCAGTTCTTGTGTTTTTACCTCCAGCTGCGAAGGAGATCATTATGTCAGCCTCTCCTTCCCAGCGCCTGGAGAACTTGAGTGGGGTCACCTCCTCCCAGACTTTCAACGCCTTCTCAATGGCAGAGTCCACACTCTCTTTCGGTAGATCTGGCGTATAATTCACAATCCTGCATGAGAAAAGTGGAAGAGGGCCATGTGTGGCGCGCGATGCCTCTGACAGCTTAACACTGGAAACGTTGGAGCCGTTCCTTACCTGTAGGTGAGGTGGTTTTCCTTCCACTTCGGTGAACCTGGAAAGGTGCTGAAGGCACCAACATCGGGGACGCCACACCTGGGCTTGAGCATCACATCCATAGTGCTGGAGTCCAGCTTCCCTGTCATCTCCAGCCCGAGGAACTTCTGCATTTCTTGGATTTTTTTGACAATGGGACTACTGTCCTTGTTCTTAACGAACTGCTTTACACCTCTTGCAAGGCCATAGTAGTTTTCCAAGTATTTCTAATGGAATCAATGCCACTCTTAAGTCACAATTCTGATTTTTTTTTTAGCTATTGCTATTTATAGTAAATGTGTGTAGCCATACACCTTCATTTCATCCATCCATCCATCCATCCATCCATTCATTCATTCCAGGATCTTACTATCTAACCAAGGAACCCCCTGAATTCATGACCTCCTTGCATCTAGGACCCAAGTCCTGGGATCACAGGCTGGGAGCACCAAGCCGGACAGTGGCTTGACTTTTCTTAGTCTCTTAGACCTATTTTTCTCATTCGCTGAAATCATAAGCATAACACTTCATTTAATTTGTCAGCGATAGCTTCTTCCTTGCTTTACTTTTGAAACACGATGTCTCTGTTTGCCATTAAAGCAATGGAAACGAGGAGAAATTCACAAGTATTTGGTGCAGTGAGAACTAAAAGAAATACATATGCATTTATGAGAATATTTGTCCTCAATTTTCCACTTTTCACAGAATGTGGCTTGCTAGGGAAAAATTAGGCAAGCCTCTCCTGCACTAACACAATTAATATTTTTCTAAACTGCAGTGGACTCCAGCTCTAAAGGGTGGTGCGAAGCAAGGCGCACTCCACGCCCTTCCCCTGGACGCTGCTGCTCCTCTGGAGTTAAGGCTGCATCTGCTGCCATGCTGTGTGACCTTGGAAGTGTCGCCCAGCACTCCTGGCCTCTGTTCCTTCTATACAAAAGAGAGAATCGTGTGATATTGAGACCCAGTATCTCCTAAGGTTCCCGCACCGTGGAATCACCCGTACACAGGCAGTCAGAACCAGCCTCCAGAATGCAAAGCTGTGCCCTTCCAAAGAGCCTGGAGGCCAGCTTACCTGAAGAAGCTCCATGTCGGTATCTCCACCCCTTGCACTACCACCATGTAGAGGATAGGACGAGCAAGCTGCTGCACACAGGCACAGCAGGACCGGGAGGCTCTTCATCTCCGCCAGCTTTCCTCGTCCCTGTGCGGCCTTCGCTGTGTGTTCTCTGTCTACCTCCTTGTGCATCCACCGGCCTGAGCCCAAGTTTTATAGAGGGACAGTGCTTGCAGAGATCACCCGCAAACTGAGTCATCGTTGCTTCCACCCAAGTGGGACTGTTTCCAAAGACCCAAAGTCAAAGCAGGGTGTTACAACCTTCTGTACCAAGTTCTCTGAACCTTCTGAATTTTGCAAGGCAAAACAGTGATTAATCTCCAGGAAATGTTTCCTGCCTGGCAGGAGAGAAAACTGGGCCTTTTTTTTTTTTAATTTGGAAAACTTAATTATAGTTCAGACACAGGAACGCTTGTGACTCGGATAGAAGTAGACTAACTTGGTAAAAAGTCCTAGTTGCGCAGAATGTCTAGAAGCCAAAACTAAACACGATGAGATGTGGCTAAGGGAAATATATACCCATATAGCTACATCACATGCTGTATGTCACCACAGCCTATGTATGATGTCACTACATACACACACACACACACACACACACACACACACACACACACACACGGGATGGAATATTCAGAAGGAAATCTGAAGGAACAAAAAAACAACCTTTTCAAAAAAGTTTTTTTAAACCCACCACTGATTTATTTACTGATTGACTGATTAAGACAGAATCTCACTGTGTAGCCCTGACCTGAAACTCACTATGGAGACTAGGCTGGCCTTGAACTCACAGAGATCCATCCACCCCTGCCTTCCAAGTATCAGAATTAAAGGCAAGTGTCAACCACGCTGAACCCCACATTTGATGATGATTAAGAAGGGAGAACTCGTGGGAAGGGAAGAGCAAAGAGAATATGACACAAAGAAGCTAATCATTTGAGGGGTTGTCCCCACCTGTGGAAAGATGGTGGGCCCGTAGCAGCATTCCCACAAGGCTCTTAGAACTGAGGTTATTTACTGGGCTGAAATACCACTTCTTTTTGTTAGCAGTTTTCTTTTTTCCTTAGATTCGAATTAGTGGGTGATCTGAAGCTGACAAACACACCTGATTCTTTGCTCATGCTTCTCTTTAATGTTCCCTTTCTCCCTCTCTCTAGTCTCTCCTCTCCGTTTGTCTCCCTGCTCTCCCTCTCCCTTTTCTCCTCTCCCTGCCTCTCCTTTTCCTTTCAAGTAGAGCCCTGCTCATATTGTTGGTATATGACGGATGATTGTAATGAAGACCTTAAACATTTTCTTGTGGCGGGGGCAGGATTTTTCTGTATTGCTTTGGAGGCTGTCCTGGAACTTGCTCTGCAGACCAGGCTGGCCTTGAACTCGCAGAGATCCGCCTGCCTCTGCCTCCCGAGTGCTGGGATTAAAGGCCACCAATGTCTGGCTGACCTTAAACATTTTTGTAGACGTTTTTGTTAAACGTTTCCCTGGCCCCTTTTCCTGCCCATCCCCCCAGTCTTACCCGTCACTGTACATTGATCTCCTTTTGCTTGCTTGTGGTAGGCCATTTGCTTGCTAAGGTGCGCACTGTGCTGGAGGTGAGAACCGGGTTAATGGTTATTGTGCACAGAGGTGTTTCATGAGTAGAGGCGTTGTGAGCTCCCGCCCTTTGCCCTACTTTCACGGGTAATTTTTGTGCCAATTATTTTTCCAGTGGGGGAAAGACGGGGTCACTCTTCTGAGAGTTAGACTGCCAATGCTTGAGATGGGAGATAGACATCTGACAGCCAGTCGGCAGAGGATGACACATCACACCACAGCGAGGCATCAGTTTCTACTCCAAGTTCTTGTTAGAGGCCTCCCAAACGCAGAGTTCTATGTCTCTGTTCCTTAGAGGGAACAAAATCTGTGTACTTATCTTGATTGAAAAAAGAGAGAAATATTGGTCCGTGCTGATGTGAGGACAAAGGCCGGGGTTGGCGGCAGACCTTTAGAGGGTGTGACATTCAGGAGGGAGACCCAGGCAGAGAGAGTGAGAGACACAAAAGACGAGAGAGAGAGAGAGAGAGAGAGAGAGAGAGAGTCGTGGCGGCCATATTCCTCCTAGGTGAATGGCTTTGGTTTTGTTTCATATTGTTTTCTCTGAGATTATCACTAAAATATGTGTTAGTGTATTTAGAGTTTAGAGAGAGGTCTGAAAGATATGTGCTTATACTCTCACTTTTACGCATGTGATTGGCAAAACGGTCACATTGTCCTTGAAATTAAACAAACAACAAAAACTGGTGATGTGCAATGAGATGGGTTTTTCTATCCTGCCAGCCATCTCCCCCTCCCTCCCCCCACAAACCCCATGCAGCCTTCTTATTAACTATGAAGACTTGCTGCATGGCTCGGCTTGTTCCCAACGTCTTACTTACCCGTCCCCACTCGTGCGTACTCCCCATGCTGCTTCCCTGCTTCCTCCATGCCGAGCCGGGGCTTTGCCTTCTTCCCATCGGCTTCTCTGCCCCTAAAACCCTGACTAGCTATTGGCTGTTCAGCTATTTATTAAACCAATCAGGGTAGCAAATCTTCACATTATACAGAAAGATTATTCCCCAACAATGTAACAGGATGCTTTTATCTTTATGAACAGCTTGAGACTTCCCTGAGCAATCATTTCAGGTCCCAGCCATCATCCCTCACTTCCCAGTGGAGCTCTATGTCCGTTTCTATGAGTGCGTTTTTCAAATCGACTGTGGTGCCATGGTTTATGTATCTGTCCGTCATAATTTGCACTAGGTTTCTTGACTCATTTGATTCTGTATTCCTAGTACTTAGTATAGTACTGGGCATAAAATACACACCTGAAATATTGCTTAGACGTCAATTAATATATTAATCGCGAATGAAAAGCACATAGAAAAACAATGTATAAATCCTGCAGACAATTCTGAATTCTCAGAGCCTATAAATGCTCTTATTTTAGTAACTGGTTTTTAAGTCTTTCTAAAGATAAGTTAATTCATTTACTGTGTGTGTTTCCTTGTGTTCCCACAGGTACTGCCAGAGGTCTACACCATGGCATGTGTGCAGAGGTCAGAGAACAAGGTTTGGGGGTCAGTCCTTTCCTCTTACCATGTGGACCCAGGGAAGAAACTCGGGGTAGGGGGCTCAGCACCTTCATCACCCGAGCCATCCCACTGACTTTCCAAGAATTACATTTTTGAAAGCTTTATTTCCACAGAAGAAGTTCAAGAGTGTATTTGTATGTCTTCTGACTATTCAAACTAAAAGCATAGGACCAGCTACTTTTCTTACAGTCAGGTTGTACTCTGTTGCTTGAATATAAAAACGTATTTCATTACTGAAAAGCAATAGATAAAATAAACTAAGTGGAAGGGGGAGGGAGGAGAAAGGGAAGTCAGGAAGGAGGGGAAAGGAAGAAAGACAGGAAGGAGGAAGGGGAAAAGGAAGTCAGGAAGGGAGGGAGGGGAGGAAGGGGTAGGAGAAAGAATGAATCAATATTTTGAATGTAGAGGAACATGTGAACACCAGGAAAAACGTATAGTTCCAACACATAAATGGGAATGATGGCCCCACAGAACAATCACATGCAAGGATCTGATGGCTGCTAGTGTAATAAATCTGGCCCCCGAGTGAGCAGAGGCCTGAAGCGAAACTGTTCTACAGAAGTTGCAGCTGTTTCTAGCAGCATCTTATCTGATAGGCCTTCGGTTCCGCTTCCTGTTGGTCATACACCTTCCTGACTAGCCTGTCACGATCGTGTGGAATCCTTGCTCTGGTGAGCAGATAAAATCGTGCAGCTCTACACTAATTTATCAAGTATCCAAATCTGAAGTGCTTCAAAATACCCAGACTAAGAGCTCACATTGGTTGACAAAAATTTGAAAGAAATTTAGGGGATGGGGAGTAACAAAATTAATTAAAGATAATAGTTTAATTTCACTTTTAAAATTGGAAATAAAAAGCAGAGGAAGAAAGAAATGAAAGAATGATGGAAAAAAAGGCTACAGTTAAGAAGAGGTGTTCCCCGCCAGAGAAACTAGGATACAAGGAGGAACCTAAGGGTCCCTTACAGAAGGGGAAAGGGAAAAGATCTCCTGAGCATATTGGGGGGGGCAGTGAGTAAAGAGAGAGCTAGGAGAAAGAGAAGGGGAGGAGAGGAGATCATGTGGGACTAGGAAGATTGAGTCAGGGGATGAATAGACAAGAGCAGAGAGAGAGAGAGAGAGAGAGATACCATAACACAGGGAGCCATTATAGGTTGGAAGAGAAAACTGACTCTAGAGAAATGTAGAGACCTACAAGGATGACCCCATCTAACAATCTGAGCAACAGTGGAAAGGCTACCTTAAATGCCCTTCCCTGATAATGAGATTGATGACTAACTTATCCTCCATCATGGAGCCCTCATCTAGTAGCTGATGGAAACAGAAGCAGACACCCATAGCTAAACTCCTGGAATCCAGATGCAGAGAGGGAGGAGTGATAAGAAAAGGGGTCAATATCAGGCTACAGAACAGAGACAGCTGACCTGAACAAGGGGCAGTTCATGGATCCCCAGACTGATAGATAGCTGGGAAACCAGCATTATACTGACTCAGACTGCCTGAACATGCTTAGTTACAAGGCCTGGGCAGTCTAAGGGACCTCTGATGGTGGAACTAGGATGTATCCCTGGTGCAGGAAAGGTCTTTGGGAGCACATTCCCCATGGAGGGATACTCTCTTAGCCTAGAGATAGGAGGGAGGGCCTAGTCCCTACTCCAAATGACTTAAAAGGTTTTGTTGACCCCCTCCTGGAAGGCCTCACCCTCCCTGAGGAGTGGGGGGGGGATGGGAGGGAGAAGGAACTGGGATCGATATATAAAATAATATATATATATATGTATACATATATATATATATATATGTTCCTTACACAATAGTTCTATAAGACATAGGAGTTAAATAGAAAGTGTTTAAAAATAGATAAAGCAGCAAAAGCTGTTAGCAAAATGAGTTTATACAATGATGAGGACTTGGGGAAATCTCAGGAGTTAAAACATTATCTATCTAGAGAAATAATAGTGGCAGAAAACTTGCTTAGCATGCAGGGGGCTTTGGGTATGATTCCCAACTGGAAAAGAAAAAGTTAAAAGTTAGGCCCCCTCTGAAAACCAGAGAGCAGTTCCTTCTCATTGAAATGAAAAGGGCAATAAAGAAATATGAAAACAAAATTGTGTGAAGGCGAGCTTGGAAGCCCTTAACTCTCTAGGTGAGGTATTTGGAGTTTATTCTATGGGAGATGGAAAGACTTGGTTTTGCAAAGCATGTGGAAGCTTAACTATTTATGATGGAAAGCTTAGAATATGAGCTTGTAGAGGGAAATAAACCATTTGCAGTCCCATTACAGGAGGAAATTGCCTGACTATGAATTGTATGTTTGTATTTTTTAAGATTTATTTTCATTTTTGTGAGGATAGATGATGTTTTCATGTATGCATGTCTGTGCACCATGTGAGTTTCTGGTGCCCACAGAGGTCAGAAAGCGGTGTTGGATCCCTGGGGCTGGAGTTACAGATGGTTGTGAGCTGCTATGTGGGTGCTGGGAATTGAACTCAGGTCCTCTGGCAAGTCAGCCAATGATCTCAGTCATTGAACCATCTTTCCAACCCTGAATTTGTATTTTTAGGCCTGTATGTGGTTTTCATGTAATGATGGTCATGGGAACTTAGGAAATTTCAGCTATCTGTTCTCAAAATTCTGAATCCTACTCCCCAGAGACGCCTTAATAAACTGATACAGCCCAGTCTGAATTATAGTAGAAATGATTACATAGAGAATTTTTGAAGTGTATTTTTCAATTAAAGGTGTGCCATATATGCTGACTTTTACATCCATTGGCTACAGAAACACCAAGCTATTCTAACTGGAATGGGCAGGAGATGAGGTTTTAGCTCAGTGACACTCATGACCTAGCTTGCTTACGGCTTGGGATTTCCACCCCAGCTTGGGGAAAAGAGTATCTGCACTAAATGGCTTCGTTGGGTTTAGCTCTATAAAGGTCTCAAGAGGAGGGACCGAGAAGGTGGTTCAGTTGTCAAAGTACCTGCCTCGTTAAGCAAACACGAGGACTTGAAGGGCTTATGTCTGCATCATTTTATTAGTTCTTTGGGAATTTCATCCAGCGTATTTTGATTGTGTTCACCTGCCGACCAGCTACACTAGCCCTATCAAGACAGTGAGCAGAAGGTTCAGAGAGAGAGACCCCGTCTCAAAAACTAAAGTGGGGACCGATTGAGGAAGACACACGTGGTGTCTGCTGGGCCATTAGTCTTTGTATTATGTCACATGTCTCTTCTCCCTTTATGATGCTGTGTGCTATGTCGAGCCCCCAAAGGGACCTACATCAGAGATGAACCATACTGGGGCTTGAACTTCTGGAACAAATCCTTACAAAATAGCTTCAAATGGCAGGAATAACTTCTCTGGAAGATGGCTGACCAACTCAAACCACAAAGAAACGTTTCCACGACAAGTGACAAATGACAAGAGCCTGTGCCTCAAAGTTCAGTTGAGGACAAGAATAAGTGTGAATTTCTACCAACACTACCCAGTCATCATGCCTTTAGATTCTAAGGGAGACTAACCTGAAAGGCTTTGTCTCATGTATGCCAGGCTAGCCTTGGCCTTCTGATCTTATTACCACCACCTGCCTATGACGAGACAGCAGCAGGGTATATACCCAGTACATGCGGTTCTCGGTATTGAGTCCAGGGTTTTGTGCATGCTAGGTAAGTGCTGTACTGATTGAGCACTGGCTCCTGTCCTTTCCTCTTGAACATTTCTTGGTGGGTGTTGAAGCCCTTCTGCTACTGTTCTAATTGAAAATGTTGTTCTTAAATCTAACAGTAGACGCTAGACTATGGGATTTAGAAAATCTTGTAACTGAACTGATTGGTGTGCCATCCTTAGCATTATGTAATGATCTTCAGGTTAAGGAAGCGTACCTCTCTGAAGATCTCTTTAGAACAGTAATTTAATAATTATCTCATAGCAGACATACTATGTCTATTGGTTGAGGGGTCTCAATATTCCTCAAACTGTAAATTGTGAAAATACAAACTCACAAGCATCACATAAATTGGTTGTATTTGCTGATGTCTATGCTGAAAAGGCAGGCCATCTTTTAGTTTCTGTACTGTCTTAAGAGGCACAGACTGGGGAGGAAGATGGGATCCATTCTTTTCCTTTTGGTCATGTGCTGTATTTGTGGGGGGTAGTAATTCACTGGAAAACATGGAGTATACAGAACATGTACCCAACTTGAAGAATGGAGCACGGTACTTAGAATGGATAACAATCTCTGCCATCACCCTCCATGATGAAAGTGTAAGAGAAGCTAGAGAAATAGAATCCTGAGCTATATTTTTGTAACTTTTTTTCAAGGTAATTGGAAGATAAAAATATGTCGTTATTCTG